AAATTCCTTGTATGTGTACACATACCTGGCAATAAAGCTGATTCTGATTAGCCTGCATTAAAATACCACAGGTAGACTACATATTGGCAATATGGTAGCACATAGTTTGTGGTTATTAGGTTTCATAACTGGAGAAGAAGACACATCCGTCATACTTTACACACAGTGAGCAACAGCATGTAGGTTTCTGTGGAATAAAAACACATAACGTGTTAAAATAAAAATTCAGTTAAAGCTGCAAGCAGCGTTGGATGGGCTCTCATGCTGGGACGTGTGTTGGGAACGTGATGCAGCGCAGTGGACAGAGGTTGATGGACGCGGCTATGAATTATGAAGCGTTTCGGACTGGTCACAAAGGAGTTAAACGTCACCTCTTGTGTCCCCTAGGTGCCGCTTAACAACACCAGCCAATTATATGTTATGTACCAACATGCGAAAATGGCATTTAAATTAAATGATTTTTGTCAGAAATGGCTTACTTCCTGTTGCCATTAGGTGGGGCTATCACATTGAGTGAATTTTGGCATCTAGATGTGTTCAGGGCGAGACTCTTATCAACCATGTAAAGTTTGGTACAGATCTGAGCATGTGGAATGAAGTTATGACAACTTCCTCTTTTATGGCGATTCATCGATATTGTAGGACACACTACCGACACGCCCTTTGACGAAAACTCACAGATAGCACAACTTTTCATCGTCTGTGCCTGAAGATTCCACAACAAAAATTTGACGTCGATCCAATTAATTTCCTAGGAGAAGACAGTGACCTCCACTGGCTCCCCGTGGCCTCCAGAATCAAATTCAAGTCACTAATGCTTGCATACAGAGTGACTACTGGGTATGCACCCATCTACCTAAACTCCATAATACAAACTTATGTTCCTTCTCGGCCGCTACGCTCCTCCAACGAACGCCTCCAGGCTCTGCCATCCCTTCACACAAAGCAATCCCAGTCCTGGCTATTCTCATCTGTGACACCACGATGGTGGAACGAGCTACCACACACCATCAGAGCAGGGGCATCCCTCTCTAACTTCAAGATGCTCTTGAAAACTCATCTCTTCCGAAAACACTTCCTCTTATAACACCTCTAACTCCTAACCTCTAAAATGCACTTCCTGTGCTCTTCTTCTTCTATCCCCTACAATTATCTTGTATTGATTGCACTTTTTTGTTTTGATTGCACTTTTTCAACTCCTACTTCCTTCCCTAGGTATTTACCCCATTGATGTGATATGTACTATGAGCTATTATAAGAGTTATTATAACTTCAGTATACATGCTCACATCTGCACCAAACTGTACATGTAGGATGAGAGTCCCGCCCTGAGCGCATTTACATGCCGACATTTACCCACAGTCATGGCGCCACCTGCTGGCAACAGGAAGTGACCTTTAACGAAGCAGCCCCCGCTGCACATTTGACCTACATGTATGAAATTTCTGTGGTACATGTATCATGTCCAGACGTACCAAAAAGCCTTTTGGAGTGATGCTCCAAACCCAACAGGAAGTCAGACATTTTGAATTTGATGGTAATTTTTGGATGATTTACACACTCCTCCTAGGGATTTAGTCCGACCGACTTCAGATTTGTGCTGTGCAGTCTAAAACCTCATGGACCCACACGTCCGTGGCGTTGATGATTCACCATGAAACAGGAAGTTATTGTAACTGTTACAGTGAGTGTGGAGGGGCAGGTTGGAGGACCCAAATGCAGAACACACAACTGGCAGGTATAGTTCAAAGATTTATTAACCAAAGGCGAGCGCACTTACTATCAGTGGCTGAGTCCAAAAGAATCCACAAGAATCCAAATACAGGTTGACAAGGTTTCAGGCAGATATTCAGACAGAGCTTCTCCTCACGACAAGAACACTGCAAACACTGTATAATGACCAGACAAAGACAAGACAGAAACACCAGGTATACACACACACACACACACACACACACACACACAGGGACTAACGAGCAGGGCCGGGGCAACACAGGTGACAGACATGAGGCTAACGAGACACAGGCAGGCAGAGAGAGAGCGGGGGAAAACAGAGAGAACACTTGACAGGCAGACAGGGGACAAAATTAATAACCAACATGGACAGAAACACACAAGTTACAAAGTGCCAGAACCTGAATGAGAACACAGAACTAGAACACAGAGTACAGAGGAGACTAAACCAAAATAATGTAAACAAGAACTAGGAGTTAATACTAAAACATGAACTAAGGACCAGGACTAAGAAGAAAGATATAGAACCAAAACCCAGATTCCCAAACAAGACACACAGACAGGATCATGACAACAACTTCAGTTTATATGCTCACATCTGCACAAAACTGTACATGTAGGATGAGAGTCCCGCCCTGAACACATGTACATGCCGACATTCACCCACAGTCATAGCGCCACCTGCTGGCAACAGGAAGTGACCTTTAACGAAGCAGCCCCCGCAGCACGTTTGACCTATATGTATGAAATTTCTGTGGCACATGTATCATGTCCAGGCGTACCAAAAAGCCTCTTGGAGCGATGCCCTAAACCCAACAGGAAGTTGGCCATTTTGAATTTTACGGCAATTTTTGGGTGATTTACACACTCTGTACACAGGAAGTTGTTGTAACTTCAGTGTACATGCTCAGATCTGAACCAAACTTTATGTGCTTGATAATTGTCCCACCCGAAGACATCCACACGCCAATATTAATTTATATTCATAGCGCCTGTGGTGTCCAAACAATAAAGCTGCGATGATGTGTTGGAGTTCAGCATCAATTACAAGCTCTGCAGCAGCTTGGAGAGTGACCCAGCCCGATGACCACTCTGTCTCTCTGTACATCAAACATAGCTTATATAGGATATGTTTAGGTATCTGTTAGGTACCATAAAAGGGTTTGAGTCTGCAAAATAAAGCTCAAACCCATAGAAGGGTACAGTACTATTATGAGGTAACAAAACAAGGGGTTAGAGGTCAAATTCTATAGAAGGGTTCAGTCCCTACATAACCACCAATCACTGCTCTCTCCTTAGGAGGTCACTGACCCTCTGCCCTGCTGCTACAGTGCTATTTTAAACTGTTAAAATGCACAAGCACTGTACACTACACGCCACAAAGGGGACACAGGAAGTAACGTATAATACCTTCATGCAGCGTCCGAAGCGTGTAGCAAATTCACAGCCGCACCGGCAGAGCTCCAGAATATGCCATGCGGCCGCCTCACACCTCGACGCGCTACACGGGCGCAAAAAAAGCCTCTTGGAGCCATTGCCTAAACAAAACAAGAAGTCAGCCATTTTGGATTTAATGGTCATTTTTGCCGAATTAAAGGCTCCATACTTTAACAAACTTCTCCTAGAAAGTTAGTCCGATCGACTTCAGATTTTCGCTGTGCAGTCTAAACCCATTGTCGATTGAATGTTGTACAAACGGTTACTACCAGTCGACGAGCGTGCCCGTGGGGTGGCGTCCAGTATTGATGATTCGCTATGAAACAGGAAGTTGTTGTAATTTCAGTGTAGATGCTCACATCTAAGTTTATATGTTTGATAAGAGTCCCGCCCTGAATACATCCACAAGTCCATATTCACCAATAAAGCGCCACCTATTGGCAACAGGAAGTGACTACTTTTATGCTGGATGAACCACTTCTTCCAGGTTGGCTATAGCTACTTCAAAACTGTCTCAACAAACCCTTAACACATTGATGATGTCATGTTGTAAAGCTTGTGAGTCTTCTTTAAACGTCCATGGTGTGGCGGTGAAGTACCATGCATTGCCATGAAACAGGAAGTCGTCGTAACTTCACTGTACATGCTCAAATCTGTACCAAACTTTATGTGCTTAATAATGGTAAATTTAATTTTGTCATTAATTCCTTTATATTCATGTTGTATCATCATAAGTTCTCTACGTTGTAATCCTTTTTCTTAATAAAATCTTTGTATTTAATTTGTATGGATAAATATCCATTTATGAGAACCTATTATATTTGAATCAAAAGAATCCTTTATCCATTATTTGGTGGTCTGTAGCCATTCAAAAGAATAGTCAATTGTTAGACATCTACTAAACTTTCACTGACAGCCCAATTTCAGCCCTGTTTTAGCCTAGATGTATCGGCTGTGTTTAGATGCCTATTAGACATCTTTTAAAAACAAAATTGCTTGTTGGGTCATCAGAACATGTGTCGCAGCATTCTGGATCATTAATGGACTTGACTGATAATAAAGAACTGCAATAATTCAGCCTAGAAGTAACAAATGCATGGACTAGTTTTTCTGCATCATTTTGAGACAGGATGTTCCTGATATTTGCAATATTATGTAGGTGAAAAAAGGCAGACCCTGAAATTTGTTTTATGTGAGAGTTAAAGAACATGTCCTGATCAAGATAAATCCGAGATTCCTCAAGGTGGTGCTGGAAGAAATTATTGAAGTTAGTTTGTGAAGATTGATGAGAGCAAAGCAGTCTAAATATATATCAGGTTTTACAGCTGTTTCTAAGGTTCCTCAGTTTAGAGATAAGTTGGTACCAGTTGAGGGCAGGAGATGATGGATTTAGTCTCTATTAGAACTGTATTATTAAAGACGCTCATGACCGCTCATACAAGAAGACCAGCCCACACAAGGAATGCCCAGATCAACTGAATTTATTTATCGAGTCAAACACCGACTTACAAAGTTGTGAGGACTACCAGTTTTGCATATGTCCAGCAACAGGTTAAGACTGTTGTGAACTAACACTAACCCTGATGTAGTTAATTTGAGATGTGGCAAAAATATCCACATAAGTACTTTGAAATCTAATATACAAACAATATACATAAATAGACATTTTCTAAAGTAATGACATCACAAATTCCAAAACTATGCTTTAGAAATGTCAGATCTGGAGTAATATCAGTGGATAATGCTGTGGTGAGTTACTTCTTCAATGTCTACTCATTTCAAATGTTTTGGCAAACTTTTTCCTTGTCTCGTCTCCTGCCTCCTTTCAGATCGTTTTAGACAACTCGAGGTTCTCCAACAGGTAACTACAGCATTCTCCTCCTTGGTGGGGTCTTCGTCCTCCCCCTCCCTTCCTCCTGAGACCCGGGAGAGGAGGAGGCAGATGGGCATGCTGTTCAGACGAGCATCAAAGAAGTCACTTAGCCAAATCCACAACCATAAAACCCAGGACCTAACGACACCTGCTGCAACCTCTCCTCCCTGTGCTCCACATGAGTCACTGCAAATTCCACCCAGCCTTGCAGACAAGAAAGTCTCCTTAAAAAGAGTCAAACCTGGACTTCTGGAGACTGTGTGTCTGTGTCCTTTGGCAGAGGAGCAAGGAACTGGTCCAGACCGTCAGCCTCACATGGTTTCTTCGAAAGCCTATGAAGCACTCACACACTTGCCCCTGATGGAAGGTCAACCCCTGATGGTCAGCACTTTTTCACAGAGGAAGAAGAGCCTTGGGCCAGCCAGGGAATCATTTGAAATAGAGGAGGTAAGTGGAACTGCAACAGTTCAAAGCAACACTGGTTAGAGCAGGGTGGTTTGTCTGCAAGATATCTATGTATATTTGTGTCTCCAGTAATTTACTTCATATTGACTTTTTGGAGGAAACATATGCTGGCCACTATTATGGCCACAATTTTTTTTTACAATGATACAATTCATACATGCAAAATGTTCATATTCTAAATCATTTTTTTCCGTTTGCTTCACCTATCTGCTCCTGGCAATGAAAACATCCATTATTGGATGCAATTAATAGTGGACAGGGTTGAGATGAGAGGGCACCTCTTAATATCATGCAGTCCAATCCAAAGTCACTAACCTCCAAGTGATTAAAGGGTTGAATGAATCAACACATTTCTGTATCAACAAAAATGATATCTTCCCATATGACGTATAACATATTTGTTACAAAGAGTTTGCAAATATATTGCATTAGATTATAAAAAGCCAAAGCTGAAACTGAGGTGTGTGTTCTACTATTTTTCCCATTTAAAGTTTGTTGATGTTGTCTTTCATATTTCATTCCAGATCCACAGTTTTGATGAATGTAGTGTCTACACGAGAGGAGCAGAAAACGGTGGGTCATTAATGGTTTTGTTCTCATTCTTCTTTACTTCTTCATCTTCTTGTTCTTGTTCTTCTTTCTTCTTCTTTTTCTCCGCTAAAAGTGTTTGGGCAGCAAAGACTCCCTCACAAAAACTCACCAAAATTGTCAGGTAGGTTGAAAATTTCACGCACTACTCAGGCAAAAATGGCACTGACAGAACTCATGGTGGTGCTATAACAGTTATAACAATAACAATACGTTCTTGCAATTATCTTGAAAACAGCTTTGTTTAGAATCAAACTTCTTTCGTCATTTTACTCTCTGGATTCATCTGCATCTTTGCTTCAATGCTCTAAAAATGTCAAATTATGTGAGTTTTTATCACTTTTCCCAAAACGTATTTTTGCAAACTCATCCCAGATGGTTTTGCCAATCAACCTGAAACTTTGGCAAGATTACCACGGACGTCGCTAATCAAAAGTTGTCAAAAGAATTTTGATGCGTCAATCTATTTTTTTTTTCATAATTTTTAGGGCCCGAGCACGACCGTGTGAGGTCCCTATTGAATTTGCTCGGATTATTAGGGCCCGAGCACGACCGTGCGAGGTCCCTATTGAAATTGCTCGGATTATATATATATATATATATATTTTTTTTTTCTGCAAAGTAGGCCCAAATGACATGGCCTAAACATACTCGAAAACTCACCAAAATTTGCAAACATGTCAGAACCGGTGAAAAATTTCGTATTCTACAAGTTTCACACATGGGCGTGGCAAAATGACTCGCTAGCGCCACCTAGAAAATTGGAAATGATTAGCCCCTCGTTCACGTTCAACCTACATGTACGAAATTTTCTGGGGACATGTATCGTATCAAGACGCACAAAAAAGCCTCAAGAACCCATAGCCTAAAGTCAACAGGAAGTCGGCCATTTTGAATTTTATGGCCATTTTTGGATGATTTACATACTTCGTACTTTAACGAACTCTTCCTAGGGATTTAGTCGGATCGACGTCAAATTTCTGCTGTGCCTTCTAAAGGCATTGACGATGAAAAGTTGTGCTATTTGCGCGTTTTCGTCAATGGGCGTGTCCGTGGCGTCGATGATTCGCAATGAAACAGGAAGTTGTTGTAACTTCAGTGTACATGCTCACATCCGGACCAAACTGTACATGTAGGATGAGAGTCCCGCCCTGAACACATGTACATGCCGACATTCACCCACAGTCATAGCGCCACCTGCTGGCAACAGAAAGTGACCTTTAACGAAGCAGCCCCCGCCGCACGTTTCACCTACGTGCACGGATTTTCTGTGGTACGTGTATCTTGTCCAGACGCACAAAAAAGTCTCTTGGAGCCATAGCCTAAACCCAACAGGAAGTCAGCCATTTTGAATTTTACGTCAAATTTTGGATGATTTACACACTTCGTACTTTAACGAACTCCTCCTAGGGATTTAGTCCGACCGACCTCAAATTTGTGCTGTGCCTTCTAAAGGCATTGAAGATGAAAAGTTGTGCTATTTGCAAGTTTTCGTCAATGGGCGTGTCCGTGGCGTGGCGTCAAAGATCAGCTCTTCGCCATGACACGGAAGTTGTCGTAACTTCAGTGTACATGCTCACATCTGGACCAAACTGTACATGTAGGATGAGAGTCCCGCCCTGAACACATGTACATGCTGACATTCACCCACAGTCATAGCGCCACCTGCTGGCAACAGGAAGTGAATTTTAACGAAGCAGCCCCCGCCGCACGTTTTACCTACGTGCACGAATTTTCTGTGGTACGTGTATCTTGTCCAGACGCACAAAAAAGTCTCTTGGAGCCATAGCCTAAACCCAACAGGAAGTCGGCCATTTTGAATTTTACGTCAAATTTTGGATGATTTACACACTTCGTACTTTAACGAACTCCTCCTAGGGATTTAGTCCGACCGACCTCAAATTTGTGCTGTGCCTTCTAAAGGCATTGAAGATGAAAAGTTGTGCTATTTGCAAGTTTTCGTCAATGGGCGTGTCCGTGGCGTGGCGTCAAAGATCAACTCTTCGCCATGACACGGAAGTTGTCGTAACTTCAGTGTACATGCTCACATCTGGACCAAACTGTACATGTAGGATGAGAGTCCCGCCCTGAACACATGTACATGCTGACATTCACAGACAGTCATAGCGCCACCTGCTGGCAACAGGAAGTGACTTTTAACGAAGCAGCCCCCGCCGCACGTTTTACCTACGTGCACGAATTTTCTGTGGTACGTGTATCTTGTCCAGACGCACAAAAAAGCCTCTTGGAGCGATGCCCTAAAATCAACAGGAAGTAGGCCATTTTGAATTTTACGTCAAATTTTGGATGATTTACACACTTCGTACTTTAACGAACTCCTCCTAGGGATTTAGTCCGACCGACTTCAAATTTGTGCTGTGCCTTCTAAAGGCATTGAAGATGAAAAGTTGTGCTATTTGCGAGTTTTCGTCAATGGGTGTGTCCGTGGCGTGGCGTCAGAGATCAAGTCTTCGCCATGACACAGGAAGTTGTTGTAACTTCAGTGTACATGCTCACATCTGAACCAAACTTTACGTGCTTGATAACTCTCCCACCCCGTTATGGAGGACCGATCCTGACACAGTCAGAAATAAATACAGAAATAAATAAATGCTCAATAAATAAATAAGCATCCAATTAAATACACAAAAAAATAAAGTAAATAAATAAATGTAGGTAGTAATTAAATTATACAAGGAGACATAAATGTATATTTTAATTAGTGCCTTTACTATTCACCTTTGTTATAATTACCTTATTTGTTTATTCAACTTTATTTATTACAATTTTTTTAATGTATTTATTTATGTGTGTGTTTTAATATTTTTGTCTGTTTTATTCTTCCTTTGTATTTATTTACCTTATTTATTTTCACCCATGGTATTTATTTCTGCCTGTCTTTTTTAAATTTTTGTATGCATTTCTGCCTCATTATGCAAATGAGGAGGGGCTGTGTCTCAAGGGGTCATCTTCTCTGCTATTGGTGGACCAGTCAGACAGGAGAGCTCCTACTCTGCCTGCAGACATCAACGATCTTGCCCCTCACACAGTCAGATGGCTTCCTTCAGTGCGCTGAGGTGTTTAACAACTCTGAAGACAATACTACCAGCAATGTCTTCCTTCTCTTTTCACGTAGACGCTCCGACAGACGGTGCTTTCAGTTTGCTGCATGCATGGACACAGAACTGCGGTACAGCACACAGTAACGATGAAATGTGTGCTGTTCTCACATTCTTCCTCTGTATGTACACATAAACAACAAGGCAGGGAAATATAAAAGGAATTTATTTTATTGTTTGGGTACATTATTGTTCAGTGTACATGCTCACATCTGAAACAAACTTTACGTGCTTGATAACTCTCCCACCCCGCAGACATCTACACGCCAACACCGATTTATATTCATAGCGGCAAGTGCTATGTAGCTCCACATAGGGGACACAGGAAGTGACATATAACACCTTCATGCGGCGTCATAACCGCGTAGCAAATTCACAGCCGCACCGGCAGAGCTCCAGAATATGCAACTCGGCCGGCTCACACGCGGACGCGCTTATAAGTGCGAGGGCCCGCCCAACGCTGCTTGCAGCTTTAATTTTTTTTTTTTTTTTCTTTTTTCTGCAAAGTAGGCTCAACTGACATGGCCTAAACATTCTCGAAAACTCACCAAAATTTGCAAACGTGTCAGAACCGGTGAAAAATTTCGTATTCTACAAGTTTCGCACATGGGCGTTGCAAAATGACTCGCTAGCGCCACCTAGAAAATTGGAAAAATTAGCCCCTCGTTCACGTTCAACCTACATGTACGAAATTTTCTGGGGACATGTATCATATCAAGACGCACAAAAAAGCCTCAAGAATCCATAGCCTAAAGTCAACAGGAAGTCGGCCATTTTGAATTTTACGGCCATTTTTGGATGATTTACACACTTCGTACTTTAACGAACTCCTCCTAGGGATTTAGTCGGATCGACGTCAAATTTCTGCTGTGCCTTCTAAAGGCATTGACGATGAAAAGTTGTGCTATTTGCGCGTTTTCGTCAATGGGCGTGTCCGTGGCGTCGATGATTCGCTATGAAACAGGAAGTTGTTGTAACTTCAGTGTACATGCTCACATCTGGACCAAACTGTACATCTAGGATGAGAGTCCCGCGCTGAACACATGTACATGCTGACATTCACCCACAGTCATAGCGCCACCTGCTGGCAATAGAAAGTGACCTTTAACGAAGCAGCCCCCGCCGCATGTTTCACCTACGTGCACGAATTTTCTGTGGTACGTGTATCTTGTCCAGACGCACAAAAAAGTCTCTTGGAGCCATAGCCTAAACCCAACAGGAAGTCGGCTATTTTGAATTTTACGTCAAATTTTGGATGATTTACACACTTCGTACTTTAACGAACTCCTCCTAGGGATTTAGTCCGACCGACCTCAAATTTCTGCTGTGCCTTCTAAAGGCATTGAAGATGAAAAGTTGTGCTATTTGCAAGTTTTCGTCAATGGGCGTGTCCGTGGCGTGGCGTCAAAGATCAACTCTTCGCCATGACACGGAAGTTGTCGTAGCTTCAGTGTACATGCTCACATCTGGACCAAACTGTACATGTAGGATGAGAGTCCCGCCCTGAACACATGTACATGCTGATATTCACCCACAGTCATAGCGCCACCTGCTGGCAAAAGGAAGTGACTTTTAACGAAGCAGCCCCCGCCGCACGTTTCACCTACGTGCACAAATTTTCTGTGGTACGTGTATCTTGTCCAGACGCACAAAAAAGCCTCTCGGAGCGATGCCCTAAAATCAACAGGAAGTCGGCCATTTTGAATTTTACGTCAAATTTTGGATGATTTACACACTTCGTACTTTAACGAACTCCTCCTAGGGATTTAGTCCGACCGACTTCAAATTTCTGCTGTGCCTTCTAAAGGCATTGAAGATGAAAAGTTGTGCTATTTGCGAGTTTTCGTCAATGGGTGTGTCCGTGGC